ATTTAACAGAATATATATATATAAATTTTATAATAAGTGAATTAATGTACAGAATTTTAATTTGGTTTTGAGAAGATTGAGACCTCTAGTCACATTCTTCATCATTATTCGGCTTTGATCTAGACTAAGAGAAGGTTGTTGAACCTGTGTATCCTACCCCAATATAAAGTTGACATTTCTTCAACAATTAACGCTCTGACCTTCTCCAAAGAGTGTAATATCTTCAGATCGGTGTTTCAAGCTTAAAAGCATAAGATTTTAGCTATGACCGCAGTAATCTGTTGCATTAGGTCTTAGTGCCCTGTATAATTTGTATTCTATTCTATTTTTTTCTACATATAATAATTATTATATTGTTGATCACGTTTTTGGTTTATTTAACTTTTTTTTAAATTTTATTTTCATATTATTTTTCGGCACTTAGGTTTCAGGTTTGACACGTGGCTATCTTTAACAAAATAAATCACTTTTATATCTCTTACTAAATATACATTACAGATGACACTATTATTTGTAAGTCCATACAATTTTTAGAAAGTAGCAGCATTTGAAGCATATTGGTTAAAATTTCATAATAATTTGCCAAGTTTCCAAATACAGTGGTTCAAGTGACGATGCTTTATAATTTTCTAAGTGTTGGAAGTGTGTGAATTCCTTGTGTAGATTAAGCATTTCTTTAAAATGAGAAAACATTCTGTATAGAATCAGAAAAGGTTTGAAAAGCACGATGATGACTCTATTCTATTGAAACCATTCTATCTATTCTGTTTTTTTTGGTAGATTGCTGAATATAAATCCAAAGTTAAAGGAATGAATAATGTCGAGTGCTTGGGAGATTTAAATTTGTTATTTGTTTCCGAATAAATCACAAAACGTAAGAAAATCTATATGAATAATTATAAAAAGGTGATGCCAAAGTGGAATTATGGGGGCACGGCAGGGTACAAGTTTAACCCTTGTTATTTGCAGTCTTAAAAAATTTTTTTACGAATAATTAAATAATAATTCAATTTTAAGACCACTTTGGCATTTGGCAATACACAAAACAGTTGTATGATCAGTGTAAATTCAATTAGCTAAAAATAAATAAAAATTTTTGCTGTTGCAGTTCACTACTGTTCGAAACCTCTTCATTAAATACAATAATTTTATTAAGTAAAAAAGTTACTACTGTTGTACTGTTGTAAACTTTATTTTAACTTTGACACAAATTTGTAATTGTTTAATATGGTAAAAAATTTTGAGTTTTTGACTTCAGTAACTTTAAATTGAAAGGTACAAAATTAATAATTCAATGGTAAAATTGAAATGAATATAAAAGTTGTTGCCTCTTCCAAACTTCACAAATTCATTGCATTTTTAAACTAACTACTAGTTTAATATTTAAACTTATATCTTTGCCGTTGACAGAAAGAAACTAGACTCATGTCAATGTAACACTTAGTAACTTTAGTAACAAATTTACTTTTGTAAGCCATAAGCCATAAGTCATATAAATTTACCATAAATAGTCGTTTCAAATACGCTCTTCTAGTGGTAATAACAAAAGCAAACATGTCCATATACCATTCAAAAATATCTGGAAACTTTGCTTAGACTGTAGGAAACCTCCCTATAATTAGAAACTTTAAGCAACAGTCGTTTAGGCAAACGACTGAGTACACGAGTAACTAATGAGGTAAGTACACCCATTTCGGTGCTGTTATGCCAGCGTGGAGCCTCTGCACATGGAGTAAAATATATAAAATTACCACAAATTAACTTTTAAAACTTTTGAACTAAATAAACAACATTTATGCTCCCGGCATTGAATTACATTTTGTATGGCTTTATGATATAATATACACAATACTACCACTGTACATACGTATAGCAGTAAATGAACCTATTTGCTAAACTAATATATATTTTATTAAATGAATGTGTTGTAAAGTAGCGACTTTCATTAAAATTTAAAATTCCTCTGACACTTGTTTAATTGTACGAGAACCTGAACGTATGGACAGAAATGCCAGAAATATATATTCACACAAACACTTGACTATTTATATATACTTATACGTAAATTATTACCATATATGAGTTTAAAGGTGGATGTAGATACTAACAGCTAAATTCACATGTAAACTATGTAAATGTATATATTTCGTTTTGTAGCTGTTCCTTCAAAAATGGGTTAAATTACGTTTAATTATATCAGACAAGTTAGCACACCTTGCGTGAGGCACTTAAGCCCTGTTATCCTTTTCGCAATGCACTTGTGCGCCTATTTTCATACAAGTGTATTTGACTTTCCCGATATGAAGAGTTTGTTTAAAAAAAAAAAATTTTAAAATTAGATTTAATGGAAATATTTTCGTTTATTGCTATTGCCAGTGTTGTCGGAAAACACTGAAATCCCATAACAAGTAAATAATTGAATAAATTAATTGGCTTCATATAATAAGAATTTCTATGGAATCTTATAAACTTGAACTCAAACGAAAACAATTTACATTAAATTATGAAAATTAAGAAATTTTCCAAAAATTTCAATTTTTTAATATTACATAGAAAATGTATAAAAGATACATTTTTGATTGGTAATATTGCTTTATAAATTCTAGCAATATATAAAATGCAGAGATATCTTAAGTATACTGCATATTTTATTACGCTCTTTTATTTCATAGAGAGGTTTCGAACAGTCATGAACTACAGCAACAAAAATTCTTTTCTAATATTTTAATTTAATGCTGAGCATACCGCGTTTTTGAGTATTGCCAAATATTCGTCATTAGTGGTCTTAGAATTATTTCTCATATTTAATTACTCCTAAATGATGGTTTGAGATTGTAAGTACCAAGTATTGAACTCGTACCCTACAAATTTGTAACTCGGAGTGAATTAACCTACTGACGCAAAGCCGTACTTGATTAGTGTGTTCGAACTTGAAGTTTGTTAATTTTCTGTAAAAGTTTATTAATAATTAATAATAATTAAATCAAATTCGGCAGGGTATAAGCTCAACCATTGCTACTTGTAGTCTCAAAAAACTTTTTACGAATAATTAAATACAAAGTATAATTCCAAAGCCGGTGTTGATAGGCATTATTCGAAACAGTTGCATAATCGATCAAAATTCCAATTAATTAATGTATTTTAATTAATTAAAAATTTTGTTAGAGTTCATTACTGTTCGACACTACTTCGATGCAGTGGACCATATCTTCTCCACTATCCGCTTTTATAACCATGTCTTTCGTGAACCCAGTCACAAAGTATATTGTTGATTCAACCCCCGCTAGTTAGCCGTAACCCCTCCTCCTTCTATATCGCCCTTGCTACCTAGTTCATGCCCTTGCTTTCTGATTTAGATGAGCCTAGTTCCACGGTTGCCACTTATGGTACTTTAGTACCAAAATTGGTACTTTTTTTCCGTTTGGTACTCTGGTACTCATGTTCAAAAAATGGTAC